TTTTAATTGTCTTCACCTCCAACTTGAACTTGCATACAAGCAACTGATGATCTGTTCCACAGTCAGCTTCTGGTCTTGTTTGGGCTGAAGATATTGAGCTTTTCCATCACCTCTTGCCACAGATGTAGTCGATCTGATTCCTGTGTACTCCAGGTGGTGAAGTCCATGTATATAGTCGTTTGTGTTGTTGAAAAAAGGTATTTGCAATGAATAAGTCATTGGTCTTGCAAAATTCTATCATACAATCTCCAGCATTATTTCTATCACCAAGGCCAAATTTTCCAGCTACGAGTGATTCTTCTTTGCTTCCAACTTCTGCATTCCAATCACCAGTGATAATCAACACATCTTGATTGCATGTTTGGTCAATTTCAAACTGCAGAAGTTGATAAAAATCTTCTTGTAAAAATCTTTTTGTCTTAAAGTCTGGTTTCAACATTTTTATTGGGTTTTGTTTGTTCTGTTTCATTTGAAAAGGGATAGGGTGTGCCTGATATATCTTATATCTTTTGTAAATTCCACAATTTACAGCATCAAGTCTTTCTATCCATGAAGGTGGTATAGTGTCCCATTAGTTTAGATCTACTTTAATTTCTCTCAGCACTGTTTTTTCATTTTGTTGTCTTCATTGAGATCTTTTAGTGGACATAGTCCTAGATAGTAGATTTAAATGTATCGTTTTAAAATTTTTCATTTTCTATTTGTCACAACTATTTTGAAATAAGTTGGGCTTTTTAAAATATTGAGATTGTATATAAAGTGATTTTCGATAGCCTCATATGCATGTGAAAGCTGGACGATGAATAAAGACCGCAGAAGAATTGATGCCTTTGAATTTTGGTGTTGGCAAAGAACACTGCACTGTGGACTGGTAGAACAAACAAATCTGTCTTGGAGAATGGACACAGAATGCTCCTTAGAAGCAAGGATGGCTAGCCTTCATCTTTGTACTTTGGTCATGTGGTCAGAAGGGACCATTCTCTGGAGAAGGATCCCATGCTTGGTAAGGTGGAGGGTCAGTGAAAAAGGGAAGACCCTCAATGAGACGAACTGAGGCAGTGGCTGCAACGATGGGCTCGAGGACATTTACGGTGGTGAGGAGGGTGCAGGACCGGGCAGTGCTTTGCTCTGTTGCACACAGGGCTGCTATGAGGTAGCATCGAGTCAACAACATCTAACAACAGCAAATTAAAAGGAAGAAAAGGAGACAATCATATGATTGTCTCAATAGATGCTGAAAATCTGCATTGATAAAATCTGACTTTCATTTAAAAAAAAAAAAAAACCTCTGGAGGGGGACCCTCTTAATCAACTCTATGGTAGAGGCAGTTTCCTGAAGTCCTAAAAAGTGTCTGTTAACCAGGAATGCATAGATAAGAAGGACACAGGGGAGGGGCAGAGAGGGGAAGAGAGCTGTTTGTTGGGACTGTAATCAGTGCTGTGAAACCAAAAAAAAAGTGTTTATTAACAAAACTACAGCAAACAACACACTAATAGGAATATATTGACAGCTTTTCCTTTGAGATTGGGTAGGACGCCACTACCACCATTTTATTGTACTTTATCCCGACCAGTGTGATAAGACAATATGTGTATGTCCTAGGCTGGGTTCTCTAAAGAATTGAAACCAGTGAAGCTTTATATATAGAGAGAGAGATTGAGGGAGATAAGTTTATCTCAAGGAAATGGCTCACGCAGTTGCAGATGCTGGCAAGTCCCAAGTCCATGGGTCAAACATCAAGCTGGAAGCTTCACCTGACTCACGCAGCTCCAGGGCTGAGGAGCCCAAGTCAGCAGGTAAAATGGCAGATTGCTGGCTGACAGGCCATGAAGGCAAGAATCCCAAGATCAGCGGGCAGTACAGCAGGCCACTGGTTCAAGTCCAGGGACTGGAGACGGTGATGCGCCAGACGCAGGATCGAGATCCAGCAGAGCCAGAGCAGCAGTGTTATTTTGTATCTTTTATAAACCATATAGTCAGGGGCATGGGAGCAGCAGAGTGTGCAAACATTGGGGCTCCACTTCCCATCAGAACCCGTGTCCTGGCTGGGATACACAGCCCTTCCCAGGGCAGTGTACCCCTTTCCTGGGCCTGGCACCCCACATTAGCCTGTCCTCCATGCCTGTGTCCCTGTTGGTTCTCAACAGACTTTGTCCTTGTTTGGGAGGAAGACCTGAGGCTGGGTCAGCAGCAGGACCACGCCACCCAAGACAAGATAGACACACACAGGGCCTGGCGGGAGGCCTTCCTGGATAACCTCCGTGCAGCTGGGCTGCGTGTGAACCAGGTACGTGGGGTCAGTGTGGGTAGGGCTCGTGTCTCTGCATCTGCTCCATGACCTCAGACTTCTCTCCACAAAGCCTCAGGAAGTGGCATCCAGACCTCCAGTGTATTGCTTGATACCATGGCCCTTAGTGAGTCCCTGTGCCTGGGAACCAGTCACAGAAAGACAGCCCTGCCCCCACACTGCCTCCAATCCTGTCCACGCAGCACTGAGGGCTGGGACAGACAGATGGCCTGGTCTGGAAGCAAACAGTAGAAGCTGTGTATAGGCAAGCCATGTAAGGGAGACTTTCTTTTCATATCTCTCTCTCTCTCACACACACACACACAGAATGCTTTTAAATGCAGCTTTGATAGTATCAGATGTGTAATCTGTAATGTGAGAGCTAGTGTGTGGATTAAAGAAACATCTGTAAATAGTCACAAGCTCAGCAGGATTTGTCCACGGAATGAAAGTCCTCAGGCTAGCTTATCCCTCAGGGCTCCAGGAGTGCCTGCCACATGTCTACACAATGCATGCACATGCATGTACACAGACACACACATGCAATCCGCACACACCTACACACACATATATACACACTGACATGCATGCATCACATATACCTACATGCACACGGACATGCATTTCCACACACCTGCACATACACAGACATACATACTCATACACCTGTATGCACCCAGACATGTGCACACATGCACAGGTGCATGGGCACACATGTGCATCCATACACAGCTGCATGGACACAGACACATGGGTATGCATGCACATGCATTTGCACACACCTGCATACACGTGCATGAGTGCACACATGTACATTCACATACAACTGTGCGCACACACACATGGACATGCAGATATGCACATATGCATGCGCATGCATGCCCTCAAGTGCTCACAAAGCCCCCCCATCCCTGCAGCATGACATCCGGGACAAGGACACAGTGGTGCACTACACCCTCCTCAGCGCATCTTGGGCTGTGCTCTGCTACTATGCAGAAGATCTGCGCCTCAAGCTGCCCCTGCAGGTACCTGGGGATTCATGGGGCACAGAAAAGGGCCTCAAATCCCAACCCTGAGCCACACTTAACGGGAGCAGCTAGCAATGCCAACAACCCGGGGGGCTCCCATTCACATCTCCTCCGGAGGCAACCTGGGAGGGACAGGGCGGGGTTGACAGCATATTCTGGAGCTGGCTCAGGCTGGCCCCTGATCCATTTGGGACCCACACCCTGCAGACCTTGCTGAGGGCCTGGCACTGGCCTGGGACAGTCGAGGGGGGCTGCTTGGCCTGCATGGAAACATGCCTGGAGGGGCAGCTCCTGGAAGCTCTGGGGCTGTCCTGCTGCCCCGTGGCAGGGGCTGAGCCAAGGGCCCCCTTCTCTGTCTCTTCCCGTCTGGAGGGACCCTAGTCCTAGAATCTATGGCTGAGCCTCCCCGGAGCCTGAGGCCAGGAACGGAAGGGGCTTGCCTCCTCCCGACCCTCTGCTGCGGGGCCCAAGCTGGGAGCAGAGGGCAAGCCTTTGCCGTGCTGGCCCTTTCTCCCCGTCACTCAGTTTGGAGATGTGCACACACACACACACCCACACACATACACACACGCACCACTCTGGGACGTTTCCTTGCAGGAGTTGCCCAATCAGGCCTCCAATTGGTCGGCTAGCCTGCTGGCAGCACTGCGCGTCCCCAACATGCTGCAGGAGACGGTGCCTGACACCCCCCCCGAATTCTACTCCTGCCAGTTCAAAGTGAACAAGCTGTCCAGGTAAGGGTGGCCCCCATGCCCCAGGCAAGCCTCAGGCCATGCCTGCCTGGGTGAGAGCTCCATGGTGAATGGGGGCCTAAAAGCAGCACAGAGCGTGTGGACTACAGACAACCTCTCCCCAAGCCCTGCCTCCCCTGGGCCTCTCACCAGGAAGAGCGGCCTCGGGAGGGCCCTGCCACGGTCAGGGTGAGGTCAGGCTGCAGACACATCCCCTCTGTGCTGGACACCACGGGGCCGTCTTCCGCTCAGCTCTGTCCATCAAGGGCTGGAGGAATCCCATCATCACAGTCTCTTGGTCTCGGTGCCCAGCCGCTCCCTTGTGACCGTGGAGGCAGGACATAGGGTGTAGTCAGCCCATGTCGCTCCTGCGGCTTCTGCACACGCGTTACTGAGCAGAGCGGGACACGTGGCCACACCCAGACACGGGGCAGCACAGTCTCCTTCTCCGGGTCCAGACTGTGGGGCCAGTACTAAAGACTCCCACACAGACTAACCGCCACACCCAGGAACCACCCTTCTGTGCAGTGGAAATCCACTCGCCATCCCGCTGCGCCACCCACAGGTGCCCCAGCTGCTGGCACCCCAGCAAGGGCCCTCTGCTCCAACGCGGGCCACCCCCCTGTGCTCTCACACTCGGAGCTTCAGGCAGGTGCAAGGCAGGGCACGTGGCTCCACTCTTCCCTCCCCTGCTGGAGGGGAAGGAGGGAGGATTTCTGTAGCACTCGGAGGAATGGCCAAACAAGTATCCATCCCATCGCCGGGTGTCAGAATATGGGCTCCAATGGCACATGTGCACATGTATGTGCCTTGTGTATCCCATGTGTGCGCCCCTTGTGTGTGCATGTGCCCTGTGTGCATCCCCATGCATGTATGTGCCCTGTGTGGGCACATGCCCCATGTGTGCACGTGCCCCGTGTGTGTGCACAGGCCTCGTGTGTGTGCCCCATGTGTGTATGTGCCGTGTGTGCACATGCCATGTGTGCTTGTTGCTGTGCCTGCTCCTGCACGTGTGCCCCAAGTGTGTGCACATGTCCCATGTGTGTGCACGTGCCATGTGCTTGTTGCTTTGTCTGTGTGCTCCTGCATGTGTGCCCCATGTGTGTGCTGTGTGCTTGTTGCTTTGTCTGTGTGTGCTCCTGCATGTGTGCCCCAAGTGTGTGTGCACATGCCATGTGTGTGCATGTGCCCCGTGTGCATGCGCCCCGTGTGTGTGTGCATGCCCTGTGTGTGCACATGCCCCATGTGAGCATATGCCTTCTGTGTGCTTGTTACTGTGTCTGTGTGGTCCTACATGTGTGCCCCATGTTTGTGTGCCCATGCCCTGTGTGTCCATGTGCCCCATGTGTGCACATGCCTCATGTGTGTGCACATTACTGTGTCTGAGTGTGCTCCTGCATGTTTGTGTGTGTGTGTCCTGTGTTTGTGTGCACATGCCCCATGTGTGTGTATGCCCCGTGTGGGCACATGCCCTGGTTGTGCTTGTTACTGTGTGTGCTCCTGCATATGGGCACCCTATGTTTGTGTGCATGCGCTCTGTGTCCATGTGCCCCATGTGTGCATATGCCCCACGTGTGCCCATGTGCACTTATTACTGTGTCTGTGTGAGCTCCTGCATGTTTGTGTGCACGTGCCCCATGTGTGTGTGCGTGCCCGTGTGTATGTGCCCTGTGTGCGCACATGCCCCGTGTGGGCATATGCTGTGTGTGCTTGTTACTGTGTCTGTGTGAGCTCCTGCGTGTTTGTGTGCACATGCCCCATGTGTGTGTGCATGCCCGTATGTGCCCTGTGTGCGCACATGCCCCGTGTGGGCATATGCCGTGTGTGCTGCATTGTGTCTGTGTGTGCTCCTGCATTGTGCTCTTACCTGCCACAGGTACCTGGGGAGTAACAACCAGGACACTTTCTTCACCAGCACGAAGAGGCATCAGATTGTGAGTGGGGGCTGCTCTGAGCCCTGACTCTGCTCTGAGTGGCCCTGAGGCCTCGCACGCCCCTGGCTGAGTTGGAAGTAGCCTCTGAGGAGCAGGAAGGCTTGTGGGTGATGACAGGGTGGGCCATAGACATGGAGACAGAGACTGCTCCTCCCTCACTGTACGGGGTAGAGGGGGATGCAGCTGGGAGTCGGGGGAGTGCCCAAGCCACCCAGTGGACCCTCCCAAATGGGTAGACAGAGTTATGGGACAAACAGCTAAGGACTGTCAGGCCCTATGGTGGGTGAGGAGGGAGCTGCAATGTCCCTGGTGAGGACAAAGCTAGATTCATGTGGCACAGGCCAGGGCCCCCTTCCAGGGGTGCTCTGCTGTCCGCAGCTGGGAGGTGGCCAGGATGGATCTGCCCCCCTCTCCTCATCACCAAAGGCACCCAGGACAAGCCGCTGCACTGTGGGCTGCCTGGCCGGGGCTCCCACTCCTGACACAGCTGACCCTGGCATGCAGGGAGGGCACGCCCACCAGGGGCTGGGTGGCAGCTCTTAGGAGCTGTGTGACTGTCCCGGCTTCCCTGTTTCTGAGATGGAACAGTAACCGTCACTGCCCGGGGGGTAGTGGGATAGTGACTCCAGGAAGACCTAGGACCCAGGCGGGGTGCCAGCTTGTGGTGGGCCTGCCTGTCCTCGTGTTAGCCCTCTCACGGACATCTGTCCCTGCCCCACCATCACACTAACATTGCCCACCCCCAGCTGTTTGAGATCCTGGCCAAGACCCCGTATGGCCACGGGAAGAGGAGTCTGCTTGGGATCGACCAGCTGCTGGCAGAGGGGGTCTTCCAGGCAGCATTCCCCCTGCATGACGTGGGTCCTGGGGGAACCACGGGGGCTGGGGCTTGTACCGGGCATGGGGGTGTGTCCCTGGCTAGGAGGACCCCCCAGGTCCTGCCGTCTACCCCAGGGGATGGGTAGCCCTGCCCCTTTGTGCTGCAGGGTGATGTGAGGCTGGTCCACTCTGGGGCCCCCCACCAGAGCAACACCCATGACAGGAGGGGGCATGTTTGCTTACAGACTTGGTGAACCAGCCAAGCAGGGTGAACTCTGACAAACCCACAGCTGGCGGGGGGCTGGGGGTGCGGGATGGGTTGACGAGACGTCCTCCCGTGGCATGGCAGGGCCACACACTCAATGCCGGCCAGCATTAGCTGGCCTGAGTCATGGTGACTTGTGGGCTAGCCCCATGCCTCTGGGCCTCGGTCCCCACAACCCCACAGGGTGGTCAGGTGGCCCTATTTGAGGCCCTGTGGGAGCCCTGACTGGCCCTTTGTCCCAGGGCCCCTTCATGCCACCCCCAGAAGGGCCACGGCCCCAGGCCCTGAGCCAGCGGCAGGTCCTCCGGCGGTACTGGGCCCACTGGGGCAAGTGGAACAAGTACCAGCCACTGGACCACGTGCGCAGATACTTCGGGGAGAAGGTGGCCTTCTACTTCGCCTGGCTCGGTGAGTCTGCTTGTAACGCGACCCCCTCTGCCGGTCACGGTCCTCTGGGCACAGACAGGGTCCTAACTGTGTCCACACGAGAGAGGCCCACTCGACGGCCCAGCGCTGCCCGACGCTGTGGCCCCTCCCCAGCCAACCCACCCTGCCCACTCCTCAGGCCCAAGATTGTCCCTGTCATATGGTCCCCAGCCCACCGGGAGAGGCCCCCGGGGCACCCCAGAACTCACCCACCATCCCGTCCACCCCACCCACTCTACCCTGGATCCGCTGCCCCCCACCGTGCGCCAGGCCTCCTCCTCCATCCTTTCTTGTCCCTACACACAAAACATGAGCCTCAGAATCTCCTACTGCGTCTCTAACACTGACTGTTTCACCCTCATGGGTCCCTGATGCCCACCCGGCGCCCCCACCCAGCTCACCCAGCATTCCCCCACCCGGGTTCCTGACACTGCCCCGGCACCCTGCAGGGTTCTACACAGCTTGGCTCCTGCCGGCAGCAGTGACAGGCACTCTGGTGTTCCTGGTGGGCTGTTTCACGCTGTTCTCAGACATACCCACGTGAGTGCATCTCAGCCTAGCCTTGTCCTGGTGGCAGGGGGCCCCCAGGGGCCAGGCCCTTGGCAGAGAGTTGGGGACTGGGATGAGCAGGCATATACATCTCCACCCTCGTGGGTGTCCCAGACGCCAACAGAGGTGGACAGGCCACCTGCCCCCACCCGCCCCCCACCCCAGCAGCACCACAGCCTGGGGCATCTGGAGGTTCCGGAACAACCCAGCCAGGCCCCCAAGCCCTGCCCCCTCTGAGCCCCCTCCCGGAACAACCCAGCCAGGCCCCCAAGCCCTGCCCCCTCTGAGCCCCCTCCTGGGTGCAAATAAGGGCAGGACCAGGAACCCCGGGGCACCTAATCCTGGAAGGGTCCTCACACGTGGATGCCTCCTGCCCTGGGTTAGTGAGACCAAAGCAGACATGCTCCCCAAAGACAGTCCCATGCAGCTCCTGGAGGGCTGCCCCCTCCCCCGATTTCCTCCCCCTTGTTTCTTAAAAGGAAGATGTGTGATTGTCCTGTAATTAAACCCATGACTGGGTTTGGATTCCACGTCATTATGAAGGAAATTTCAAAACATTATGTCAAAATTAGGAGCTCTGGTAGCATAGTGCCTAAGGCACTTGACTGCTCACCAGAAGGCTGACGGTTCAAACCCACCAGCCACTCCTCAGAAGGAAGGTTGGGCAATCCTACTTCCCTAGTGATACGGCCTCGGAAACCCAAAGAGGGGTCGCTATGAGTTGGGGCCGACTTGACGGCAAAAACAACAACAACAAAACAATGTCAAAATTAATCAGTCCCTGTTTTTCTAAATAGACTATTTTTAGAACAATCTGGGGCTCACACAGCAGAAAGCAGAGCGCCCCCCTTGGTAACATGTTGTCTGGTTTCATCTGCTGCACGTGTTCCCACTGAGAACTGACATGGACGCGTCATCACTAACTGACGCCCGCAGTTCACAAGAGGGCTCACTGTGCGGCACAGCCCTGTGGGTTTGCACAAATACACCCTGTCACCCCCTTCCAGCACCCTACACCGCAGTATCACAGCCCGGGCTCCCCCGTTCGCCCATCTCCTCCCCCCGTTGGTCCCCCCTGCCCCAGCAGCCCCTGACCCTCCCACCGTGGCGGTCACTTTAAACAGTCCGGTGGCAATCGACGGGCGGCCTGAGTTTGTTTGGGGGAGGGGTTGTTTTTCCAGGAGCCTCAGGCCCGGCGGAGGCGGTGGGGTCGGGGGCGGCGGGCCGGCTCTCAACTCGCACCCCCCGCAGGCAGGAGCTGTGCAGCGGCTCCGACAGCTTTCTGATGTGCCCACTGTGCCCCGACTGCCCCTTCTGGCGGCTCTCCAGCGCCTGCGCCCTGGTCCAGGTGCGAGGGCAGTGGGGGGCGGCGCTCCCCGGTCCCCGGGCTCACCCCTTCCGGTCCCCCACCCGGGGGCTGAGGCTGGGCTCGCCTCCCAGCGCTCACGCCGGCCTGCGCGCAGGGGCTCCACCATCCGCACCGCGTACAGCCAGCCACGGGCAGCGGGCAGGCCCCTCGAGCCTCCGACGGCCCCGGGGCAGACAACTCTGACGGTCTGTGCGCACAGGAACAGCTCCCGACCTCAGGGCCCCACAACCCACCAGCACCCCGGGCCCGTCCGGAAGGCGCAGCTTGGAGGGCGCGGGGGTACTGAGGGGCCACGCGCCGTGCCCACCCTCTGTCCCTGCAGGCCGGCCGGCTCTTCGACCACGGCGGCACCGTCTTCTTCAGCCTCTTCATGGCGCTCTGGGCCGTGCTGCTGCTGGAGTACTGGAAGCGCAAGAGCGCCACGTTGGCCTACCGCTGGGAATGCTCGGACTACGAGCA